AATCTTTTACCAAACAACCAATTAAGAGTCGATGGATTTTCCCATACCTTTCACTGATTGCTCTCTTCATAGAAAATGCCTTTTCCAATATTGTCTCAGACTCGATTACACTTAGCATTAATAATGGAACGTCAAACATTAGTTATGATTCTGTGAATATTATCAGAGACGTGTCTGCCATGGTTGTAGTTACATTGGTCTCGTTGGCGATTTGGAATTTTGTGCTGAATCACCTTAGATACATTCTATTCAGATACATGTACGAAATTATGTTTAACGAGAGACAAGTATCTTTACAACAAGTGTCACCATTTTTGAAACTCATTTCCAGGAAGAGATTTATGATGCTTTCAAATTGTGCCATGAGTGTGTGTGTGATTGCTTATTTTGTCATTTTCATCTCATTAACAAGAACAAGTGTCATTATATCAACAACATATTCATGGATTATGAGCCTGTCATTTTTTGTGTTTGTTATGATCATGACAATATGTTTAATTGGAATTTATTTGTTTGATATCTATATGGAATTCAAGTATAAGCAAATATCGAGTGAAATGCAAAATGTTGGAAAGGATGTCTTATCTAATGCAACTTCACAAACATCCAAATTAGAAAATTTCGTACAAGGAATCACAAAATCATTTCCTAAAACTGGTGTAAAAAGGTGTTCAAGTGAATTTGAATTTCTATTCAACTTCATCTTTCCTACGAAGATTGCAACATTTCTTTTCTACCAATGACAGATTATTCTTTAGATTAGAGGCTGTCATATTTTTCACATCGATTGTGTTCTATATTGTTGCTTATGCATTAGGTTTTTCTGTTCTATCAAACTCCTCAACAAGCTCAATCACAAGCACTTATTCACAAATAACTACCTCCGATGATATGAACACAATTCTCCAATTGGCGTTCAATTTGGTTTTTCAAACATTATTTGAAGCTGGATTTATCATTTCATTTGGTGGATTGGTATTTATTGGTGCATTTATTAAGAACTCCAAGAATGTATCAACAAGAGACGCATCATCTTCAACAACTATGAACATGGATCAGAATGAACAGGATGATGTTTCTAAGCTTTTGAAAAATCCAAGCGCCAAAAAAGTATTTGAACAATTTTGTAAATTAGAATTCTCGTTAGAGAATGTGATTATGTGGAGCAAAGTCGAAAAGTTGAAAGATTTACTGAAAACACATGCAGACCGTGATCTCTATCAAAAGATTATCGAAGAATTGGAAGATTGGAACGAATGTCACTTTTCATCAAGTTCTCGTTTTGAGATTAATTTTTCTTCACAAACAAGAGAAAAGTTTGAAAAAGTGAGAAAAGAATTGAATGCTCATCATCATGGCCAATCCTCAGATGAATTATTGAAACAAGTTTCAGACTTTGCTCAAAGTGCAAACTTGGAACTACTTCTGAATCTCAATGACACCTATTCGAGATTTATTCTCACTTCTGAATACAAAGCACTCTCAAGTATTGAAGAGATTGTCACCGAGTTGAACGAGAATAATAAATTCCAGTAGTGATCGATCACTCTTTTTTGAACCCAATATGTGAAAGTGTCAACGAGAGTTGCTTTTTTTTACAATCATCATAAAAAATGAGCAACCTTTTACTGTTCTTTCCGCTTGTTGTGATGACCATCATGATTTCATCATCAACCAATGCGATGGAAATGATGGAAGGGGGACCAAAAAATCAAACAATATATTATTCTCAAAAGTTCAATCATTGTTGGAATGTATCGGAATACATGACAAATGCTAGAAGTTTTTTAAGAGAGATTGGAAATGAGCAATGGATACCTGATGACTTTGGATGTTCAAATATTTCGTTATGGACGAATTATGGAATTCAGCCTGTTTTAGTGAGATCGGGTGAAGTTGTGTGGTATTATAGTTTTGTGGTTTTTGAGAATATTGGAAAGAGCTATGATGTTTGCACGAAAGTGAGAAGATGGAAAGAATCTCTGCAATTATCATGTGATGCTCTGTTTTGTGACTTTAATGGAACTACAGACTTGGTAACGTTTATTGAAAGAGAGACAAATTTTTCAACAACAATATACGATTGGATCAATTATTGTCAATATTGTACAAATGATAGAACCCTGAGATCCTACAAACAACAGAATTCATACAGTCCAAGTAACTTGAAAACATGTATTTCAAAAGATGAAAAAGTGAGTGAAATGCTGAATCAATTTCCGAGCTCAATAACGTACTGTGGAAACTACCAATTTGGAATACCGTTCATCGTTAACAGTACTGCCATCGAACCGAATGTATTACTCGGACACTACTCTTACATTTGTTATTGTATAGATGGCGATTATTTTGCGCTCAAGTGTGAAAATAATCCCTCTAATTTTGCAGCAAGACAAGCCATTGGCGCTGTGAACTGTATTCTTCATGGACTTTCACTGCTCTTGGCCTTTTTTTCAACATTTATTCCAAAAATTAGGACATGTATCAAGCGAAAGAAAATACTCAACGGAGTGACGATATCAAGTGTGGTATTAAGCGAGTTTGTACTAACTTTTGCAGGTATATTTGAAGTCGCCTACGCAACAAGTACTACATCTACCGTCATTGGTAATATGGGAATTGCTATGGTTTTTGCAAGTCTCTTTACGTGGGTGTTGAGATGGGTATCATTGGTGTTGCTTATCAAGACCAAACGTACCAGAATGGTCATAATACTATACAGTCTATTGGCAATTTTGTTCATTTTGGTTGGAATTGCTCTGCCAATTGTCATGACAATACTTGGAGACTTGAAATCGATTGTTCACTTTTTCTCCTACTACTCAGCTGCAATGTCTGCAGGGACTGTATTCTTATTCGTCATTTCATCAGCATGGATTTATTGGGCAATGAAGCAAATTTCAGATGTGGACATTTTCAACTCTTCCGTAAGTAACTGTTTTCGTTGTGACTCAATTATTTACTTTTTGGCCATATCGAATTCTCTAATAGTTTTTGAAATTTGTAGGGTTGTTTGCCGTGTCTTGTTTCCTATTTTCTTTCTGTTATATGGTTATATCGACAGTACCAGGTGGTTTTTTCAATGGATTAATTGCTGGTGTTATTAACATTGCCATTCATTCTTCGCTTGTCGCCATCTCAAACGGGTTAACGTACTCTGAATTTGATATGGAAGATTTTTATGAATGCTTGAATTATTTAATTTGCAGAAAAGCCAAACATGAAAAAGGACAAATAGAGAGCACACCAATGTCAGCAAATTCTGATCCAAATTCTTCCTATTACTCACAATTATTAACCTCTGAACATGAAAAATAATCTGTCTGATTTCAAGTGCAAATCACTACTAGTATAAGTTAATCAATGGCAACAGAAGACAGGTGTAGAGATTCATTGGATAGAATAAGGATTTCATCAAAACTCTTCTTCATCATAGTATGATAGCTCAATAGAGCAGTTCCCAAATGATGCCCTTCATACTTGGATTTGTCATTTAACACCTTCAAAATATTGAGAATACGATTAGTTGATTCAGCATCTTCAGGGTGTTTTTCTAAGTGTGTTGTAAGAATTTTTTGAGATTCCATGATTCTTTCCAAAATGATACTATCTGACATGGAAGACAAATTACGATCTTCAAATATTGAAAAGGCGGCTTCAAAGTCTTTGAATCTACTGTTAGTCTTTTGCTGTTCTAGCTCATACATCCATTCTATGCACAAGGGTACGTTAGAACAATGACTTTGTTGCTTGACTCACTTACCGTCTCTTTCAAAATTGTTTTCTTTCATGACTTCATAAATGGAAGAAACAGAGCCATGGAAGGTTTCATTCTCAATTAACAACCTCTCCACTGGTCTCACCACGAATGCGCTTTTTCCTTCAGCACAGACAGAATTTGAATCTGCTAAAATATGACACTTTCGAGCGTGACACAACGACGCGAGTTTCTTTGAATTTTCAATCAATGGACCCACAATACTGTAAACTCTCATTTGATTTGTTCCTAGATTTCCAATATTAGTCTTTCCAGTCGCAATACCAATACAAATATACGCTTTTCCGAAATTCTTCAAAGCACTTTCGAGAGTCTTTGCAATTTTCAGAGATGCATCCATGGCTGCCAGGTTGGGCTTTCTCTTGCCTTGTGTGAATGAGAGCCGATATTCATCAACGCCAAGCACTTGAACATCAGCTTGCATGGACTTGGAAACCACACTTAATCCATTGGCAATTTTTGCAAAAACATGAGAGATTTCCGAGACTGTCACGCTTTTAAACATGTCCACAATTCGGATCGTCACAACACTCACTTCCTTTTCGATCAATCCTAATTTGAATAAATTACCATGAGGATCTAATTTCTTATTAATAAGACTGCTGCCATTACGAGATGAGAATGAAAATCCGTGACTACTTAATCCTACCATAGTGTGCTGCTCATTATGGACTGCTATTTTAGAATTCGATTCATGCAAGGTATTTGATTTGCGAGGGTCAATGATATTTTGCTCCTCTTCCTCCATGTTTCTCAACTGATTAAATATTGCCTCTGGTAAGAAGCTTTTGAATTCATTAAGCCACGCAACCATGTCATGAAGATCTTCATAAATCGAGTCAATCTCTTTAAATCTTGACGACGTGAAGCTCATTTTGTCGAGATCGAATTTCTTAATTTTCATAAACTGGTTTTTCAAATACCTTAATGGATGAGTAATTAAGTAGCCAATAACAATACTCATTAGTAGACCTATGAAAATGACAACAGTAGCAATAGCTATTGATATACCAGTATTGATCGTAGAAGTTTTAGTGACGTCCTCCATATAAATCACCATATAAACATTCCAACTCAAATTTTCAAGCTCAAAGTTCATGCGGTAAATTAAATAATCGACACCCATACTATTGATTTGAAAACTGTCTGGGGTATTAGATAGTGCTCCGTATTTGTTTGCAATATCTTTCATAAGAATTCCTGCATTTCTATCTGTCAACTCAAACAAGGAGACACGAGATATCTTGTTCAGAGCGGTTGTGTTAATAGAACCTCCAATAACCATGCCAGAGGATTCTGAGACCAGGACATAACCATTTCCAAGAAGCTTCAATGACGAAAGGAACCGTTCAATTGAGAGTAAAGAAATATTGACTTTGGAAATACCAACCACGCTTTTAGTCTTATTGGCAGCGTATAAAACAGGATCAAATAACTTGGCAGAATAATACATCACTGAGGTGCTATTGGTAACTATTAATTTGACATGTGACATTCAAAGGTGGCGAAAGTTTCAAGCATGTCACAATTACAAAAAGTGTTACACTCTTACACTTACCAATATAAGTATCCCCATACACTCCATCTCTTTGATACAAATCAAAATATTTCATACTTGTGACATAGTAGTCTCTTTGTGACACAATGAATGGTGTCGTCTGATTACTAAAAATAGAGACCTTGGATCCATCAGTCTCATTAGCATACCACACCTCTACTCCAATCATACCTTCTGGTTTATAATACATGATGAATTGTTGGTTTGAAACGCCATTTTTAAAATATGTCAAATTCGTGTATGAATAGAATTCATTTGGAAAATAGACACCAAATCCTGAGAAGCGATAAATTTCATTCTTCGTCCACAAATAATTCAGAGCTCTTCTTCCAATAACACCACTGTTGAAATCTTCTGCAATCGTTTTAGCCAATCCTGAAATGGGTGAAATTTCTCCTTTCAAGTACACAATAATCTTATTTCCAACTTGAGAAATTAAGGAATTTGACAGCTCTGTAAATGTTTGATTGGAACCAATAAATGAAGCTAACCAAATCAACACTGAACATGTCACCAGTAAAGCAATGATCATTAAAATAATGACCACTCTCAATGAAAACCATCCTTCAAGAGCAACAGGTTTCTTATCCAAAATATTTCCAGAATTGTTGGGTGTTTGAAGCAATTCTTGATTTACAGAGTCGGTGGATGAGGTGGTAGAGACTGTGGGAACAATCTTTCTCGTCATGATCTTTTACAATTTTTTTTTGTATTTCGTTGTTGAAATCGAAGAGTCTAATGGAGAGAAGTTTTACATTTCGGCAGCTCCCGAAAGAGATACATCTCTAGCGACAGGTTTGTATTTGATTTCTAGGAATTGTAAATTATTACATTTTTTCTTTTGGCCACTTGATGGCCATGTTTGACAAGAGAGAGATTCAACGCGTTGACTACTTCATTGTCTCACTTTGTCCATTCACAGAACTCATTCACCGGAGGTGCCTCACATCATTCTTATCCTCTCACGAAAGCACATTTTTTTCATAATCCTATTGGTTGGTTATTATAATCGCGCACATTTGATCATCAAGTCTGTATTCAAGATTCAAAAGAACGAGCTGAAAGTGGGCAAACTCTCTCAAATCATCATCCTTACAAAAAATGTCCAAACTCTTCCTCTGTTCCGTCTTGTTGGTGTTCTTTGCGGCTTGTTGTGTGCTCGCTGCTGATTCAGAGTCGTTGCTTTCTAACGGAGCTACTTTGGTCGTAAACACGGATTCTTTGAATGTCCGAAGTGGACCATGTACCAACCAAGGAGTGATTACAAGCCTTTCACTAGGTACTTCAGTAACTTATATTGGTGAAACTGCGAGCGGATGTGGTTATTCTTGGCATAAAATTAGAGGCAGCTTTGGAGTTGGTTATGCTGCTTCTCAATATTTGAATGAACAGTCAAACAATGGTGGTTCTTCTGGTGCTAGCATTACTGTGGATCAATTGAAGGCTTGTATGCCTGGATTGTCTGCAAGCAAGGCTAATATTTATATCAATTATTTGAATGATGCTTTGAGAACTGGTAACATCAACACTTGTTGCAGAAAGAGTGCTTTCTTGGGTAAGTTTTTTGGTGTGGATCTTGAAAGACTGTGAATTGACAAACGCTGTCAACTAATTTCCATTTTTGGTCAACTCACTGGCGTCAACGAAAATCAGCCCAACTTGCTCACGAGTCTGGAGATCTCAACTGGTGGGTTGAATTCGCTTCTGGTGCTGCTTATGAAGGAAGAAAGGATCTCGGAAACATCTATCCTGGCGATGGTGTCAGAGTAAGTAGTGATGAATTATATATAACATTCACAATACATCGTTTGTATTCACACAACAAATGCTTGAACTCAACCATTTGAACCTCATTATGAACAGTATAAGGGAAGAGGCCCAATTCAAATCACTGGTAGAGCTAACTACAGAGCTGCTGGTCAAGCCATTGGTGTTGATTTGGAAAATAATCCAACCAGAGCTGCTGACACTGATGTTGGTTTTAGAACTGCTGTCTGGTTCTGGAATTCTCGTTCATTGAACCAATATGCTGATCATTGTGATCAAGCTAACTTTGATATCATCACAAGAAGAATCAACGGAGGATACAATGGTAAGGCTGACAGAGATGCCAAGTGGAGACGTGCTAGAAGTGTTTTGGGTTGTTAAACTTTTGTTCATGTTGCTTTATTTATTGTATTTTTACCCATAAACTTCAAATTGTTCTACAATTAATTGAAAAAGGTGTTTAGTTTCTTGATGATTGTTAGTGTATTGAAGCAAAACAATAATCTGCGTACGGTGAATCCAACTCATCTATCAGGATTTGTGCGATTTCATTTGTTTAAATCACCCTTAATCTGTCGATAAAACCAGATCGTGATAATAGCATTTTCCATTGTCACTAATCATTACTAAGTTTCTGTAAAGTGACATCGTTTCATGAAATGAGGACTTTTTCTGAAACCAAATAGGCTTTCCTCCATTTCTCAATTACAAAAATCAGAAAAATCTTGATTACTATAACCGCTAGGGCAAATCAAACTTCTGAAGTCGCACTTTTAGCACAATCATTGAACATACGTTCGGGACCATGTACCAATAAACGAGTATTGGCTTCTCTCACGCAAGGCAAACAAGTCACTTACACTGGTAAAACAGTGAGAGGATGTGGTTATTTGTGGCATTCTGTCAGAGGTGCTTTCGGTTTGGGATATGCTGCTACTCAATTCTTGTCCGAGAAGAGATCCTCAAAACAATCACCAAGCAAACCAAGTGGACCATCCAGTCCAAAGCCAACTGCTGGTGGTTTGACTGCTGCTCAATTAATGAGATGCATGCCAAATTTGAGAACAAGCAAAGCTGTTACTTATATCCCATATTTGAATGCTGCTATGAAGAGTGGAAATATCAACACTTGCTGCAGAAGAAGTGCTTTCTTGGGTAAGTGTTCCAGCATGATCTTACGTGACAGTGTCGAACTCCTTCGATATGTTATGATATATTTTCTGTCAATGCTGTTGACATGGTCATGATAACAACCATCAAATCGTCAAATTCAAACATAATACCATACATCATGAATAGCTCAATTGGCTCACGAAAGTGGTGATCTAAACTGGTGGGTTGAATTTGCTAGCGGAAGAGAATATGAAGGAAGAAGAGATCTCGGCAATATTTACCCAGGCGATGGTGTTAGAGTAAGTATCTATCACCTCTTTCAATACGGTAATATCAAATACTATTCTTCTACTGAACGAATTTTAAATTAATGAAATAACAAAATCTCACAACAAAAACAACAACAGTATAAGGGAAGAGGCCCAATTCAAATCACTGGTAGTTAGCTAACTACAGAGCTGCTGGAAGAGCTCTCGGAATTGATTTGGAGGGGACATCCAACCAGAGCCTCCGATGTTGATGTTGGTTTCAGAACGGCTGTCTGGTTCTGGAATACTCGTTCCTTAAACACTTACGCTGATCGTTGCAATCAAGCCAACTTTGATATCATCACAAGAAGAATCAACGGAGGATACAATGGTAAGGCTGAAAGAGATGCCAAGTGGAGACATATCCGATCTGTGTTGGGTTGTTAAACTATAAGGATGATGATGAATATTTTTTTGTGTTGTTTTTTTCTTCTTTTTTTGTAAACTGTTCATCTGAGGAATTAAGGAAGGAAATAAAACTTGTCACACAAGAAAACCAACAACATTGGAAGACAAATTCTCGAAAGCTAAACTCGTTAGTTATATTTATTGGACAAGACAATTAAAATATCTAAGGCGTCCACCCAATCTGTTCGATCCTCAGAAGAAGAAGCATCAAATATGTAGGTTCGAGTAGCAGTCGACAATTTGAAACAATACAATCTACCACTCAAGTCCTTGTCACTCTCAGATGCATATTGAACTCGTGTACCCTTCAATGGGATGGAATCAATTGGCTTTGGATCTCCTTTCTGTTTATAATAAGAGAGTTGATATTGGCTTGGAGAGGATTCTACACTTTCAATAATGAAATATCGTTTCTTCCAACTCTTAAATCCTCCTCCTTGTTTCACGAGAAATCCTGTTTTGTTTTTTGCTTTCTCTGCTCGATCAGCTGTTGATAAATTTCCACTGTTGCCACTACTTGTGAGAGAGGATGATGAGGAATTTGTGGTTTTTGGTTTGACATTGATGAGAGTGGATCCTCGTACTGAAGTTCGAACAGTAGTGGAAGAACTGCTTAATAAGGACGAAGAAAATGACAAGTTGTCACTTCCATTGCTATCAAACAGTGGATTGGCAAATGCAGTAAAGTCGCTGGTGTAATCATTCGCTGTTTCGAGCTGTTTTGTCGAGTGGTGAACTGGTGTCGATAGAGTAGCGATTGAAGTGGTTCTCAAACGTACAGAAGCACGTTTCTTTTTATCGGTGCTGACATCACCCGAATGTGAAGAGAAGACAGGGAAACGACTTTTAGATTTGGTAGGTCCTAAAATTTCCAAGTTTGGTTCATTGTCTTCATAATAGTCATTATTGGAGGTGTCGTCACTTGTGGAAGTTGTGACTGCATCTGAAGGAGAATGTTCAACAACAGTTGAAGAGGAATGTGAAGTCTCTGGGGTGGAAGTAGATTTTGGTGTTTGTTGTTGTGGTTGTAGTGAAGGAGAGGTCACAATGATCGAACCACTTGTGTTCAAGGTCTTTTTCATGGGTGATGACGTGACAGTGTTGACATTCGAACTTGGAGGAGAAGTGGAAGCTGAGGTGGATGTTGTCACAGGACTGGATGGCGAAGATTGTTCAGTTGGTGATAGACCTTCTTTGGACATGACCACTGTTCTTCTAACCACACGAACAACCTTTTTAGTGGTTGCGACAGGTTGTTGTTGACCGTGTAGTGGAGTTTCTTCCTGGTAAGAGGATGGCTGAGATTGATCATCTTGAACGACTGGTGTTGGTGGTGTTGGTTGTGGCTTTTCATGTTGCTTCTCTTGTTGTTGCGCCTTTAACCTTTCTTGTTTAGCTTCTGCTTGCTTAAGCTCTGCTTGCAATCCTTCTTGTTTGTGTTTGGCAGAAAGGAGTTCTTGTTCTTGTTGTTGGATTTGTTCAGCCTGTTGTGATAATTGTTTCAATAACATGTCATTCTTTTCGTTAAGAGAGGTGATCGTATTATTGAGATCGGTAATGGTGGAATTGAGTTCAGAAATCTTGTCTTTTGCTGCTTGATTTTTGGACTTGTTTTCTTCTTCCAATTTTTCACACTTTTTCTTAAGTTGAGCAAGTTCCTTCTCTAGGTTCTTGATGATATCAATTTTAGTATCGAGTTCACCTTCAAGCTCTGCTTTCTTGTCTTCATATTGTGAGTGAATGTTAGAGATTTGATTTTCCAAATCTGAAATTGTGTTATCTTTCTGTTCGGATTTGTCAGTCAATTCCATAATTTCCTTTTGTAATTCAAGTCGCTCTTGTTTGTGCTTTTGTTGTACTTTTTCCAATTCACTTTGATGTTTGACTTTCAAATCATCAATGGCTTGTAAATGATCATTTTCAGCATCTCGTAGTTTCCTCTCGTGCTCTTTCAAAGCCACAGAATGTTTTTCAGTAACTTCTTTAATTTTTTCAACTATTTCATTTTCATATCGAGCTGTGACTAATTTACGTTCTTCCTCAACTGCCTTATTCTTCTCCATTTCAAGTTCACTCTTTGTTTGTTGAATCAAAAGAATGGATTTTTGCTTTTCTTCTTTTAGAGATATTTCCAAATTATCCACCTTAGATCGTGATTCAACCAATTCTGTTCTCGTTCTCTCCACTTCTGAATTTTTCTCTTCAACCAAAGATTTGAGATTTTTGACTTGATTTTGTTCCTCAGAGAGACTTTCTTTGAGTTGATTGATCTCACTATCATGTTTAGTTGTCAATCGAGTTGTAAGAGATTCAATTTCTGTCTTTTGAGCAGATTTTAAAAGCTCCATAATGGATTTTTGATCTTCACACTCAGAACGTGCTCGGTTAAGATCGTTCTTAGTTTCTTCATATTTTGATTTCAGGCTGGTCAAATTATTTTTCTCATCTTCAAGTTCTTTCTTCACACGTTCATGATCTTTGACAAGTTGTTGATACTGTGAATCCTTTTCCTTGAGATCATTTTGCAGTGCTTCTACCTTCTTCAACAGATCTTGATTTTCCTGATTGATACTCTCAACACTGGACATGTTGGAAAGAACGGCAGTACTTTTTTCGGAGAGCTCTTTCTCAAGTTTTTGATTGGCATCACGGAGAGATGAGAGTTTGTTTTCATAGTCGGTAGTAATACGATCCAACTCGATTTTAGAATCTTTCAGCTTCTTTTCAACTTCTTGCAGTTCATTAGTCAATTTTTCAACCTTGTTTTGGGAAGATGTCTTTTCATCTTCAATATTTCGAGAGTACTCTTCTTGTAATTGTTGAACTTGTTGTGCATGTTGTTTTTGGAGAGTTGATTTTTCAGATTCGAAATGTCTTTCAAGTTTGTCTTTGGCTTTTCAGCGTTTTCTAAATTCAACAAGGCGTTTTCGTGTTTTTCTTCCACTCTACCAATTCAGCAGATTCCTTCTCCAATTCAGAGCGTAAGCTTGAAATTTCCACAGAAAGAGCTTCCTTTTCCTTATTCAACTTTTCAACAGATTGTGTAAGTGAATCAATCTCTGTTTGCAATTGATTCTTTTGTTTCAATTTTTCATCTTGCAGTTGAGTAATCTCAGAAGATAGTTCTTTGATTCTTTGAAGATTGGATGAATTTTGAGAAGCTAATACAGATGATGACTCCACTGATTTTTCTTGCAATTGATCTAGTTGTTGTTGAAGTAGATTAGCCTCTTCCTCTTTTGATTTCAGCTTATTTTGTAAATTACTCAATTTCTCCTGAAGTGAGGTCATGTTTTGTTTGGTCTCGAGTTCTTTTTTGGCTGCCTCTTGAAGACTGGACCTGATCTCAGCAATGGTATTTTCAGATTTTACCTTGTCATTGTTGAGAATTTCATTTTGCTTTTCAGCTTTTTCAGCACGATCTCTCAGTTTGCTCACTTCTTCTCTCTTCTGGCCAAGTTGTGAATTGATTTCTTCAATTTCCTTTTTCAGATCAGAATTCTGTTTTTGTAAATTCTCAATTTGAAGAGTGTTCTCAGAAATCTTGTTATTTAAAGTTTGAATCTCTTTTGATTTATCCTCAATAGTTTTTCTATGTTGAGAGAGGGTAGTTTGAGTGGCTGATAATTTCTTTTCAAGGTCTGCAGCCTTTTCTTTCTCGGTACGCAATTGGTTTTCGAGTTCCTTGAGCTTGGTTTCCAGAGTGGATTTTTCATTTTTCAAATTGGTCAGTTCTTGTTCTTTTGTGAAAGAGAGCTATCTAATTTGGAAGATTTCTCTTTTTCACTGTCAACACTCTTGATCAATGTTTTAAGCTCTTCTTCCTTGGATGAAATGGTCGATTTTAAGGACTCGATATTCGATTTGAGTTGTGATACCTCCTTTTCGAGCTCTAACTTTTGTTTCTTCTCTACTTCCAACTCATTGAAAGTATTTTCTCTACTTGCCTTTTCTTGTTTCACACTTTCTTTCAAGTAAGAGATTTCTAATTTGTTTTGTTCAATTGATTTTTCATATTCAGCATTTTCTTTTTGATAAGTGGAAATCTTTGAACTTGCTTCTTGTTCTTGCTTCTCCAAAGCGGCAATCCTTTGTGACAATTCGTTCATTGTTTGTTTTGTTTGTCAATTTCTTGTTTGAGAGCATTTCTTTCTTCCAAGGTCTTGTTCATTTCATCCTTCAGTTTGGAAACTTCTTTCTTTGATTCCTCGAGCTGTTTGTTCAGCAAAGTAATATTCTTTTCATTTTCAATCTTGATAAGACTGAGTTGTGTGTTAATGGTTTCTAACATGGAAGGACCCATGGTTTCAAAAGTGAAGTTTGAGCGTTTGCACAAAATTGTTTCACATCTACTGTTAATTTTTCTCTCACTTCAGTCTTGGCACGTTTGATTTGCTTTCTCAGTAACAACAACTTGCTTGAAATAGTGGTCTTATAATTTTCATGAGCGGACTCGAGTTTTTCTGCTGTTCTGTCAAGGTTTCAATTTCTCTCAGCTTTTCGGAGAGAGCTTTGCTGGTACTTTCAAGCTTTTCTAATTGCTCCTTGATCTTTTCTTCATCCTCGGCTGTTTTTGTTTGAGTTCTTGTTCAGAAGATTTCACCTTGCTAAGTTGAAGTTGTAACTGATCGATCTGATCCTTCAGTGTGGAATTGACCTCTTGTAATGCTCTATATTGAGAGTTTGTTTCTTCCAAGTTTTGTTGCAAATTCTTAATTTGTTGCTTTTGTTGGTAGTACTCCTTTTCTGTGTCTTGAAGTTTTTTGAGATCCGTAGCAACGGAAGCTGTTTCGTGTCATGATGGTATTTGCATAATAGTCAGCAATGCAAACAATTCGTTGCAAAATTAATATCCAATTGCTATCACGTGAAACACTTACTAATTAATTGTTCTGCAGTAGAGTCAATGGTCTTTGTGAGATCAGAAACAGGAGCTAAACCTGGATGAGAACTTAATTTTTCCGTTGTGATGGATGAAACAGCAACATCTCCATCAGTACCTGCAACAACAGCGTCATCCGGCACAAATGGTAAAAGGTTCTCTGTTTTCCTCACCTCGTACCACAAGGTTTTTCAAAGCTGTGTCCGCAAATTCCAAAACTCCCAGAGTGAATTGAGCTGCATGAGGAATGGCGGGTGAGCAATTTATAAAGGTGGTAGCAATACAGTTGTGCAAAGAGCGAGAATATAGAATAGCTGATAAGCTCGAGGAATAGAACTGGGAGTCATCCTCTTGAGATTTGGGATCATTCATCAAGTTGCACAAATCGGAAAATGTCGCATGTCCATTTTCGAGTTCTTCGGCCTCTTCTTCTGAAATATCAATTAAGGGAGATTCAAGATCGATACAAGTCAATTTGCTACAGATGGTTTTTGCTTTTCATTGTCCTTTTGTGTCACGGTTAATTCAACAAACAGGTTGGAAGCAAATTTTGTATCTTTTTTAACTTTTTCAATTTTTCGTTTTTGAATTGATGAAGCCAAAATGTCTAATAACTCGTCATCAGCCTCCACGAATTGTTCAATGAGTCCGTTAATTTCAATTTCTTGTGTATCCTCCTGCAATAGACATTCGAGACCAGTGAAATCTTGATGTAAATTGTGGTTGTTATGATGTTAGTATGTCAATCATTACATGAAATAGTTGTATTATCATGAAATAAAATCAGGCATGTCATGAATGACATTTTAATCAAAAAGTCAACAGAGTTTCAACCAATCTAAAATACCTACCTTCGGAGTGTTGTTGTTGAACATGACTATCATTCAACAAATCACAAATGATACCACTTCCACTCCATACTTCATAAACACTCACTTTAATTGTGAATGAAAGTGTTTCTGGACTCTCCACAATAGCATCGAAAATTCCACGAACAAATCTCGGCAGAATACCATCAGTGTCCTTTTCCTCTTGCCAATCGATCACTGAGCCAGCATTCACAGCTTCGGAGCCCAATATTGTGAAAGTTTTACCTGACTTGGGTGGTGCACCCCATGACAAGAAGGTAACATTTCGACCAGACATGAAGGTAGAGATCATCGGGCGGGCTGCTTCTTCAAAGACTTCGCCCTGAGCTGTGTTCATGTTAAAAACCCGATCGAATTGAAATTCTTTGGGTTGATCAACACCATACTATTTTTGCGAGTCATTGGTGAATGAATAAATGTTGGGCAAAGTAGTAGCAGAAGTAACAATGATGGTATTCCAGTTAGTAACATCAGCACACCCATGGTTGATGGTCCCAATGAGATCAACAGGAGTCATAGAGACAAATTCACGTGGTCAGGAGTCGATGAATAAATACGACCATTACGATGAGGAAAAGTGGTTCATATGATACAATACAAATAGAGATGTCAAAACACATCAGATGTTCGAGTCCATAGAAATTCAAATTTCATCGGATGTTACACACACGACAAAATACAAACCTTCAACAGGAGCTTCTTTCCTGACTTGTGAAAGGCAGCACAACACTTTGTGGCATCATCTTTGTTGGCTGTAGGTGGATCGATTGCGAGAACGTGTGGTCTGAAACGAATGAAAACTCGTAATTTCTCATCCGTCGTCGTCGAGGTGGGTGTTGTGCTTGTCATTTTTTTGGTGATGAGAGCTACTGCGAATGTCAATCTGTCGTAGAGCAAGGCAGGCAGGTTCAAAATGAGTTTTCAAAAACAAGGGAGATAGAAACTAATTATTCTCAAGAGAAGAGCTCCTAATCCAAACTCGTATCTTGTCTCCTCCAAAATAAACATCATGAATTGAGAACTGACTGCAGTGTAATCATTGCCTGGATCTAAAAACAACAACAACAACATGACATCGAAATGTCTTATTGTTTGTTAAAGCTTATCATAATTTAAGTAGAAGTGAATGCGGGATCCGATCTTATAAGATAAAGTGGAGAAAAAACCCAACTTCTCCTAATTTATTGTGGATATATTTTATGATTATATTATTTAAGAAAAAATATGCAAAGTTCTCAAAATTTACAGCCTCAAGCAACCTTACCATAGAGGATCATCATCAAGAACAGCATGGGACGTCGGTACTCTCATCCTCAGAGTCTTCAACATCATCGTCATTATCAACAATGACTCCGAGTATGGATCAGAGTCATGAATTAATTCCTGAAGCTCCTGTTGCCGATGAGAGCTTGAATGTCCAGCAAGAAATTGGAGAAATGACAGCATTAGAAGCTCTTGATTTTCTGATTGAGGAAAATAAAAAACTGTGGAAAGAAAAGATAAAATTTGAGAATGTAAGTCATTCCGAGTGAGCCCGTTGACTCAAAATGTTAATTGTTTATTTCAATATCCCATCCCATCATCATCATTGGTTCAACAACGGACAGTACGCCTACGCCTTAAATCAAAGTTTATTAGAATCGGAATCAAAATTGAAAAAACTAGCAAGATATAAAAAAGCCTTCTTGCAAGAGCAAGAGGAAAAAGAAAAGATGAGAATCCAAAATGAAAAACTTGAGAACGAAATTAAAAAAGTGAGAGAAGAAAAATCAAGATCTTTCACGTCGACGAATCAATCAAACTTGGATCTGCTCCAGAGTAACATTGCAAAAATGCAAATACAAACACAACAACATGAAAAAGAGAAACAGCATCTGTCCCTTCAAGTTAGAAAAATCAAAACAAAAATCATTGAGACAAAGTTGGATCAGAAATCTTTGAAAAGTGAAGCCAAGTTCTTAAGCACTAAATTTTCAGACGAGTTTTCTTCCTTATAGAAACAATTAAGGATAACATAAACATGAAAATGGATCAAATGGACAATGAACTCGATAAAATGGAAAAACAATATAACAACGTGTTGAAGGATAGCGAAGATCAAGTTAGAGAAACAGCAGGCTTCTTGTTAAAAGTTGGGCAAACTGTAAAGAGTTGGAAACGACGATGGTTTGTGTTTAGAAAAGATTTGACCTTCAGTTACTTTAAAACCGTTGAGGATTTGAAGCCAATTGACACGATTGATGTATCAATGGAAGAAAGCTTGGATATCTCTGCAGACGTGACTCAAGGAAAGCCTTTTGCTTTCAAATTGGTGACAAAAGACAGAACTTATTACTTGTGCGCAACCAACGAGGACGAAAAGAGACGATGGATTTCGACACTTAGAAGGTGGTTTGAGGTGAATAAGGCGTACTTGACGAAATGAATCCTTGCACGACCACGCAGAAGGATTATCTCTATAACCACCGGAAATCCATGAGCAACGTAAATTAGGATCATTACGTCCTGCAAGACACTTCAAGCAGTTTCAACACCCAAATCGATTCTGAGTTGTGCGTTCTGTCTCAAATTGTCCAATTACAGGTTTCAGTAACCACAAGTCCGTGGTACGCACGGAAAACAACCTCGAGCACTATATTGCATGAAGGGATTCTTATGCCGGCACACAAGATCAAAAAAAACGCTCAAAAATATGCAACCGCAACAGAGATCGTCCATTCCCTCCAAATCCACCAAAGAATCCAACAACAACACAAAAACACACAACACGGATTACTTGACGACTAGTAATGGAAACAATGTATCAACAACAACAACAACCAACAATACACCTTGGCTACCATCTGCCACCACTGAATCATTCCACAACAATACAAAAAACACCACTAGCATGACTTCAGATCATCCGTTTGGGCCTTTTCAAATTCACCAACAACAACTCGATATAACGATAACAACAACAACACAAACACCACCCACTCAACACTACCCATTGTTGTTCTCATCATCCTCTTCCATTTCACCATCGCCACCATCCTCCTCATCATCAATATCGAACCAATTTACGCCAACGAGTAATGCTCATCCTCCTCCTTCTCTCATCTCCAATATGGTCAACAACTCATTTCCGAATTCAACTCCAATGAATATTTCCTCCCTGTTACCGTTTGCTATTTCACCACCTCCAACACGCTTCTTTTCAATGCTTGTTTCTTCAAGTAGTAGCAATAACAACAACATTAATCATCAACCACAACAAACATTACCAACTCAATCTGTTTCATCATCCACTACTGATGCTGCTATTGGAGTAAGTAGTATTGGTGGCACTGTCGGAAATTACCAAAGTAACAACAACAACCGCATTCATCCATCATCTCCTCAACATTACCTCTCAAACGATAATACTCTCTTCTCCTCAACAACAATTCCACTCCAGCCAGCAATGCCTACAGGAACTAATGAGAGAGGACAACAACAAAACGTGTTTATACCAAGCATTCATGCCAATTTTACCACATTTTCTGGCACTGGTCAAGGATCAAATAACACTTCATCACAACCACCTCCAACAACAACAACAGATAATTATTCTTCAACGTCACAATCAATGCATTCTGATGAAGGGAAGGATGTAATCAATATTGGGCCAAACAATTCGTCGACGTTATCGAATAAGCCTCCCTTGGATGCTCCAGCAGCTGTGTTATTATTGGAGCCTCACTTTCGACGATCATTGACGATCACCATCCGACAATTCCCACATCACTCTACTTTACAAGAAAAACTCAAATGAGTGAAAGATTTTACCGACCACAGCAAAGATCATCCTCCTCATCATGCATAGAAGACATTGACGATGATTCGGGAAGTATTGCTACACTAGTACAGCAAAACAAGTCACGCCAACATAAACACGGTTTATGGATGAATGATCATGATTGTGATCACATTTGTGGTTGTGTAGAAGACAAGATGGAAGCAGAATTGAGATTACAAGATAACTTTGAAACCAATTATTTCCACTCCAAGAAAAGGTCAAACTCTCACAACAGTTACAAGTATGATGACTCAATGAATCCACATAACACAGACGAGGATGAAGAGCCCTCTCACTTTGAATGTATTGAAAATGCCTCAAATCTTATTTCAGGCTCTAGTATTGATGATGACCACCTCATTCAACAACGCAAGAAACGAAAGAAGACACTTGAAGAGAATTTGTTAACAGGCTTTTCCAATTTGTTACAAAATTTAGAGCCTGACTGTGTCTTGTACATATTTCAGTTTTTGAATTGTACAGGAAAAGATAATTGGTTTTGTAACGTTAGAAACATGTATGGAAGGTTTAAAAAGAATAATCAAATTTTGCCACTCTTTAGATACATTACCATAGAGCAACATAGTACGCTCAAGTTAGGATTTGGATCTCTCAAAAATCATCAATCAATGGACTGTAATATTCAGAGTTTATCCATACATCGTAAAACCAATCAGCCACTGGAGTGTGAAATTGGGTATATGAGCAAAGTTGGACGTTCCTTAAAAACCTTCATTTATTACAACCATTGTGGAAATAACCCAACATATCCTTCATACGCTTTACAGGGAGGTAATGTTATCAATATTGATGCCTCATCCTGCGTCGACACAACATCTACCAATTCAAATAATACAAATGGGAAAAGCACATATTCATTCAATGATGGCATGTCATCATCGTCAGAGGATGAATTGGAGGAATCAAGTTTTGAATTGATCGAAGATGAAAATTCTCATGTGATCGGACTGAAGAGAAAATCTCGCTCTGAAGGCTCATGCTTTTTGAAAGAAATCTATAGAAATTGCAAGGCTCTTGAGAAACTAAAAATTGTGGACATGGAAGGTTATGTACCCATTAAGGTCTCTCTTCGCTTACCAGCAAGTCCAAAAGGTGCTAGCCCTCCTCTAGCGTTTTCAAATACTCTACAAAAAATTAGACTCTTTAATTGTGTTCTTCCCTCTCATGCAATGAGCGTAATTTGTAAAATGACACAACTGGAGAGCGTACATTTTGAAAAAACCTTTGTGAGTGACGTGAATGAATATGATTCCCTTCTCTCCCTTACCAAACTTAAGGTTCTAAAGTTGCAAGTTGCACAGCTTCCCAAAAAACTCTTGAAAGACATGCCCACCACATTCACTTCTCTCGAAAAACTCTTTCTGAACGTTTCACAAAAGACAGATGCGTACGATGAAAAATTTAACGTGGAGTTGTTAACTAATCTAAAATCACTGAGTATCATTAGCCACTTTAACCTTGATTTATTGGCTCTCATGAAATTGTACCAGAATTGAGTTTTTACAACTTGGTTTCGATGTTTGCTTTAATCATATCTTCCCCAATGAGAAATTGAAGTATTGCATCCTAAGAAATGTGTTTATTTCACCTGATCGATCCAAAGTACTCATCCAAAACAACACTCTACGATGCCTCAAGTTGTCTCCTGCCAGCATACGAGCAGCACAAAGAGAAATCGCCTACATTACCCAACAAAGAGCTCTCTTAAATAAGCATCC